TGAATTGATAGATTGCATGCCCAGTATTGTTTAAAATTCAGTGAGTACACATTTTTTCTCATTTTTTTTTTAGAAACTAGAACAGCTCAACAAATATCCTGATTTTAATAATTATTTAATGTTTGTATTGACAAAACTAGTGTCTGAAGATGAACCTACTCGATCTCTAAGTGGCTTAATACTTAAGAATAATGTAAAATCGCATTTTGATAGCCTAGTTCCAAGTGTAGCAAACTTCATAAAACAAGAATGTTTGCAAGCTGTGGGAGATCCATCACCTCTTATACGAGCAACTGTAGGAATATTAATTACTACTATTGCGAGCAAAGGGGATTTATCGAAATGGCCTGAGCTTTTGCCATCATTGTGTAATATGTTAGACTCACAAGATTATAATGTTTGTGAAGGTGCATTTGGGGCTTTACAAAAAATCTGCGAAGACACCGCTGAGGCCTTAGATGCGGACACAGTTAACCGCCCTTTAGAAATACTTATTCCGAAGTTTCTTCAATTTTTTAGTCATTCCAGTTCAAAAATTCGTTCATATGCTATTGGATGTGTTAATCAATTTATAATTCAAAGGTCTGAAGCTCTTATGGTTCTTATAGACTCCTTTTTAACGGTAAATATATGTAAATTCTAAACCATTTTTATATTAAAATATATACTACCCAGTCTTTCAAGTCTACATTCCTTCTGTTTTTTTAGAATTTATTTCATGTAGCAACAGATGAAGACCCAGAAGTACGGAAAAACGTGTGTAGAGCTCTAGTAATGTTGTTGGAGGTGCGAATGGATAGATTGATTCCTCATATGCATAATATAATAGAATACATGCTGCTGCGTACTCAAGATCCTGATGAAGGTGTTGCATTGGAAGCTTGTGAATTTTGGCTTACGTTTGCCGAACAACCAATATGCAGAGACGTTTTAGGTTCTCATTTGAACCGATTAGTTCCCATACTAATTCGTGGTATGAGATATTCTGACATTGATATCATTCTTTTAAAGGTATTTCTATGTGTTTATAATTTTGTAAGTTTGTAAAATAAAACGTTGCTCTTATACTAGGGTGATGTGGAGGAAGATGAAAGTGTACCTGACAGAGAAGAAGATATACGTCCTAGATTTCATAAATCTAAAACACATACAATTAAAGCTACTCCTGCAGCCGGTAATGTTAATTCTGCTGAGAATGGGTCCGCTGAGCAGGGAGATGATGACGAGGATTATGAAGATGGAGATGATGACAGTTCATTATCAGACTGGAATTTAAGAAAATGTAGTGCAGCCGCATTAGATTGTCTCGCTAACGTCTTTAGAGAAGACTTACTGCCTATTTTGTTACCTATTCTCAAAGAAGCGCTGTTTCATCAAGATTGGTTTATAAAAGAATCAGGAATTCTTGCATTAGGTATACCTAATTTATTTTCTTTACTTTTGCTGTTATAGTTCTCGTCACGTCTGACTGGACAATTAATTTACAGGGGCTATAGCTGAAGGATGTATGCCAGGAATGGTAGACCACTTACCAGAAATAATACCATATTTAATCGATCGTCTAAACGACAAAAAAGCCTTAGTTAGAGCAATAACGTGTTGGACCCTCAGTAGATATTCCCATTGGGTTGTATCACAACCTCACGAGGCATATCTCAAACGCCTCATGACTGAATTGCTCGAAAGAATTCTTGACAGTAATAAGAGAGTTCAAGAGGCAGCGTGTTCAGCCTTTGCCACCCTTGAAGAAGAAGCTTGCACTGAATTGGTTCCTTATTTGGGTTATATATTGGAAACTTTAGTTTTCGCCTTTTCGAAATATCAACATAAAAATCTTCTAATCTTATATGACGCTATTGGTACTTTGGCAGATTCTGTAGGGCATCATCTAAACAAACCAGAATATATAAATCTTCTCATGCCACCTCTCATAAATAAGTGGAACGTTCTTAAAGACGAAGACAAAGATTTATTTCCACTTCTTGAGGTAGTTTACTATTTATTTTAGCACGCTAACCGTTAACGTTTGATTCTAAATAAATATTTTTTAGTGCCTTTCAAGTGTTGCCACTGCCTTGCAGTCAGGATTTCTTCCCTATTGTGAACCTGTATATCGACGATGCGTGTCCCTAATACAACAGACTTTATATCAACATTTGGTAATCTTGTAAAAGGTTGTAAACGCTGTTGGTTATAATAAAATAAATTTTCAGGCTAATACGCAAAATCCAGATCAATATGAGGCCCCTGACAAAGACTTTGTTATAGTTGCATTAGACCTGCTTTCTGGTCTGGCAGAAGGTTTGAATGGTCATATTGAAAAACTGGTCGTTAATTCAAATATAATGGAACTGTTGCATCATTGTATGCAGGATCCAATGCCGGAAGTTCGGCAGTCATCTTTTGCTCTTCTTGGTGACCTTACCAAAGCTTGTTTCCAACATGTACGCCCTTGCATACCGGATTTCCTTCCCATCCTCGGACGAAATCTCAATCCGGAATATATTTCCGTCTGCAATAATGCCACCTGGGCCATTGGAGAAATAAGCATAAAGCTAGGTATGTGTTGGTATGGTTTATTAAATTTTTATAATCTTATGGTTTCGTTTTTCAATTTATTTAAGGTGCGGATACGTCACTGTATATACCTATAGTGCTAACTCAGTTAATTGAAATTATCAACAGGCCAAATACACCAAAAACATTATTGGAAAATACTGGTAAGAAAATATTTTTTAACGTTTTGGAGCATGGTAATCATTCTGTATCACATTAAATGTATTAACTTGTTTTTCTTGTTTTCAGGTATATGTATTTTGCAACGTTTGTAATGTTGTTTATTTCATATTAAGAAAGCGCTTGATATTATTTTACAAGGACTTGTATAAATATCACATTGTTTGAAAAAGTTATTTATACGGAATCCTTGTTATTGGCTATTTAATTATTAAACACTCAGTTTCATTTTTTGTTTGGTTGCATATTTAAATTTCGTAGGCATTTGCTATAAAAACGTGCTTGCTTATTAACATTAACACCCTGTTTAAATATAACTTTACAGATGTAGAGGGTGGCCGTCTATTCTCTATGAAATGGGGCATTTTTCTTGTAATAATCAAATGCATTTATTTAAAAAATCATTTCCATTAAGGGCTTATGAATTAATATTCTTTGAAAGTGTGAAATAAGTATAAAACACCCTTAAGTGACCTAAAAATACTAATCGTCGTCACAGTGTCTGTTTACTACTATTAACTGTCAGCAATATACCACGATTTTTATGTTAATTTTATCGTAGGATATATAGATTTTGATTGTGTTCAGTTATAGAAAGTCTTCGTTTTATTTGTCATTATTTCGCAAAATAATTTTTACGTTTAAAATGTCAAACGAAAGAAAAAATATGCTATTTGAATAATTGCAATCGAAACTATATTTTAATTTTAATTGCAATTTTATTTATTCAGTTGTTCTAACATGAAAGGGTTGGTTTGCCAAGGTTTAGAAGTGCACCTAAACAATAAAAATGTGATAAAAAGGGAACAGATGTACCCAAGACGCAGTTTTTTATATTCCTCGTTCATGGACTGACGATTTTTATTGTTTTATGATGCGTTATTTCTGTTTGTTAATTTAGTAATGTTCCTTTTTTGTCTATTACTGAGTGTTCTTGTATTTATATTTTTGTATTTACAATTATAGTTTTTACATTTAAAATTATTTTTATGCAATTGTAAATTTATTTGTAATTAAGTTGAGTTTTATTATTTTTTGTTCTCGGTGGTTCACTGTAGCCATTACAATCGGTCGCCTAGGTTATGTCTGCCCCCATGATGTCGCGCCCATGTTACAACAATTTGTTCGTCAGTGGTGTGTAACCCTTTTTATTTTTTTATTAACATTAATTTCTATTTTCAGTATTAATCCAAACTCTTACATCATTACTTATTATTATATTTATATGCTTTTTAACGTTTTGTTTAATTACAGACTGTATGAGTGGCTTTTACAATTCATCATAATTTCAAAATTGTGGTTTAGATTATTTTTTATTACGATGGTTTACATTGACAGTGGGAAATCTGGTTAATAATTTAACTAAAAACAGCATGTCAGCGTTTATAAAATCTTATTTTATGTTGTGATTGCCGTAACACGAAACTTTAATAAAATTATAAAGGACCGAAAATTTAATAATAAGTTTATCCCATATATATTTGTAGTTGTTATGTGTAGGATGTAATAATAAAAAGTAAAATAAGCCTTTTCCAGGTGTACATCATTACGAAACATACGAGATAACGAAGAAAAGGATAGCGCTTTTAGAGGGATGTGTCATATGATAACGGTTAATCCCGCAGGGGTTGTACCAGACTTTATCTTCTTCTGTGATGCAGTAGCATCGTGGATTACTCCAAAAGAAGACTTAAGGGAAACATTTACAAAGGTAAGAGTCATTATACATTATACAACTTGTAAACTGTGTGTAGCGCACTAATTTCGATTTTGCAATGTAGGTGATGAAATTAATAAAACTTTTATAACTTAAAAAAAACTTACATGTTACTGGCGTGATTTGAATCATTTCGAGAATAACGTTGTGGTTCCTGAAACAAAAAGATATATGTTATTTTGAGGTATAAAATTAAATATGTTTTTTTTACAGATATTGCATAGTTTCAAGGCGCAAGTAGGGGAAGAAAATTGGAAGAGGTTCAGCGATCAGTTTCCTCCACCATTGGGTGAACGTCTGTCGACGTTGTACGGTATTTGAAGGGAATACAGGTAGGGAGGGATATGATTTATCAATTCGGAGTTGAGACTAAATTTTCTGGAAATTGTGGGGACAATTTCAGCCGCGATAGAACTGGGTGGGCACCTACCGAACAGTTTATTCATTTAATGCGAGAATCGACGGGAGGGTTCGTTCAATCAAGAAAATAATAAATAACGAGGATTACGCGATCATATAAATAATAATAATTACGAATGCTGCAGCACAGCGTCAATGCATCCGACATCGGCAGACTGTGATTAATTATAGTACGACTCATGCTCAGAAAGAAACTCATTAGAAACAATAAAAAAAAGTACGATGACGATTTCATTAAATCTGATGATGAGCTGTACCTCCATGTTCGCAATAGTGTTACATATACATAATTGTTTATTTCCAATACGGATCTCAGTGGGCTGAAAATTGCAGGGACTTTATATGTTGAGATACACACGGACATGCAGGGGTAGAAAGGATAAATTTTGAATTAGATCAGTCATCAGGGACTCTAGAAAATGCAAATTACCGTTCCAGTTCCTTTGAAATATCGATTTTAAGTACTGAGTATAGAAAAGATAATTTTCGAAACACTTTATTATAATAAATATTTATAGTTTATCTTAATGAATGCTGATATTACTTTACATTCCTAACTTTGCAGGTTTAAAATAAATGATCTGTTATTTTTCAGACACTGAGAAACCACTTATTGTGTCATTTTGTAATTAATTATTCTTAATCTAAATAAACTATAAATGCGTTTTAAAATCTTAGCTGTCTACTTTAGATATTCCAATCGTTTTATTTTCAATTCTGTGTGTCAGAATTTTCCTATTTTAGCACAAAAAAACCTATTTTAATATTTGAGGTTGTAAAATAAAACAGAACTTCTTGTAATATTGACTATTGGAAAGGCTGTTATTTGTTACGTTTAAATGCCATAGATTAATTAGTAATTCTTCAAGAATTTCCTGTCGAAACAATATTACCAGAGAAGTTCTTTGAAAGCACTAAAGTAATTAATTGATCTAGTTTTACAAAGTAATGCTTAAAATTACTGATAATTTCTTCAGTAGTGATAGAATTTAAGGTGCAAAGTCAGCTTAGATGATTTTTGCTCATTCATACTCACTGTAGATGTTCCTTTAATGTAACAGTTTGTACTTATAATTTAATCGCGATTTGCAGTTTTTAATAAAAGTCTTCAAAAAGTGGGTTTGGTGCTTGGAACTGATTTTCTTGAGTATGAATGAGCTTTATTCAGAAAATCACGTTAGAAAATGGACACCAGTAAATTTTCATTGCTGAAAAATAGTGCCTGCAAAAATTTCATTCAATGTGCAATAAATACATCAATTTATAATTGTGTGCTGATCGTTTCTTTTTTTGTTGTACAGGACAGGTGTATACATACATTTAAGTGTTGCATTTTTTGTTTGCCAACGAAATTCTTCACAGTTGCTTCATATTGACAAACTCCTATCAATTCAGGTATTAAGAAATAAATACATTCTTCAACAGTTATAGGAATTATATTTCTAAATGTTTTCTCAAAGCCGCGTTTCAATACTGTGTTTACGAAATAAATTAAAATTATTAATTACTACATATTTGAAATAGCAATGTTAATTAATTGTTATAATTGTTCATTTTATTCCATGACCGTTTTTTTTTTTAATATTGTATGGAAATTACATGAAATTATATGAAGCAACTGTGATTGATTTTAAATATTATTTGTCGCCTTTTTACAAAGGTTATTATTTGATGAGTTTTAGAATATCTTTCCATGTTTCAATTTTGTTAAATTGTAGTCTATTTTTTAATGTGATAAATGTAGTGATTCCTAATCTTCAATTTGCAAAATGTGATACTTTTAAGTAGTTTATTAAGATCATTCGTTTATTTTTACTTTTTCAAAAATCAATAAAACCACAATTGCAAGCTTTTGTTTTAAATGTTTTGTTATTAATACGTTTTATGGTAATGTATTAGAAATTAAGTTTTTTGTTGGTAAAAATTCATCAAAGAAAATTTATAATCAATTTTAAGTTTAAACATTTTTCACAGCCTTATAAAAATAAAAGAATTCGAAGTGATTACATCTTTTATTTTTCTTCCTAAATATGAAATATGCTTAAAATTCGAACTGTTGAATAAAAAGTGACTCATTAAGTATGGTATGGTGTATGGTTTCTGTACACGTACACATAATGTAAGAAAAAATAGGTAAGCATGTAAATCAATTTTCATTTTCTTATTACCTCAATCAAATAAAATAAGGAAGAAGGTATTTCTATTTTAAAAAAATGACCTATAAAAATAATATTTCCGTGAGGAGCACATATATGTCACAAACTAAGAAGAATCATACCATAATCAGAGGACTGCTTACAAGAACAAAGAATATTGTTAGTTTTTATGAGAAAACAATTGAAATGATAAAGTAAATATTAAAACAGAACATGGTCCCTTAGAGGAATCTTCTTTAGTTGTTATTACTTAATAATTACGAACAAATCGCAAGCTCAAGTGATAGGTTTAGACGATGGTAGAGATTAGTTAGTTAACAATTAGGTAACTTTTGCCTATCAACACAAGGTAGCTTGTGACGAATGCTAGAAATGATAAATATAGATATTACTTTCTATATATGGATTGTAAATTGGGTCTACTTGTTGATGAATTTGAAAGAAAAGGTGTAAGGCATTAGGTCATTAGAGTCCAGTAAACAAATAAAAATGGGTTAGTACTGGCCCAACGAGGTCAGCATTGGCCCACTTCCGTAGTTAGGTGAATAAGACGACGAGTATGAGTGCGTCTGCAAAAAGTTGATATTGAGGTCCGGTAAAAAAAGGAGGTGGAATTGGCAGTAGGTATGTGTCAGTTGAGCACCCCTGACCGCAATTAATAAAAGACTAGAATAGATAAGAGGTAGGTAGGCACGTCGGAGGTCGTTGACCAAGAGTTCTGGCGAAGACGTGGTGTCTTGAGCAAAACTCCAACCGCGTATAACTGTACAGTGCCGCTCCGCTTCGGCCCCGTTGCCACCATCATCGATACACGTTCAAATCGGATCGCCGAAGAGCCTTGAACTACAATACTATCGGTGAAGCAGAAGGCTGCCCACGGCCTCGTCTTCAACGGTACATTCCATCGGCTGGAGAAATTCCGTATTGTACAGCAATTTTGAGCGCATATGAATGAAGAAAAGTGTGTTCGAACTTGTGCTATCAGCAGCTGCTCCAACAACCTCGAGACCGATCATCGGGCGGCTATGCGTTCTTGTTATTGTTGTTGTTAGTGTGGTGGTTGGTGGTATTTGATAACAATTTCTGTTGCTGATATTATGCCCGGAGCGAATCGACTGCGACCTTTACCACCTTTTCCAATCCATCGTCATCATCATCATCGACTCCTAATTGTCCTGTGCTTTTGCGCCGGACTTTCGTCGATGTTCTCTACACGGGCGCTGGCCCAAGATGATGATTCTTTTACCGGAAGCTTTCTCTTAGGTATGTACCACTACGTTTCAGCTTCTCATCTGCACCACCATCTACTTAACTACCTACTGCTTCTTTATGTCTTCATCAACCTGATCCTCGTTTCTGATTTTCTTCAGAATCCTCACAATAAACATACAATTCCCGTGAAATTCCACGTCTTCCTGTTAACTTTTGCAAGTCAACATACTAACCGACTCAAATTGTAATTCATTTGTATATCGACTAAATGAGTAGTTATTTTTGCTGGAATGTTTATGGAATAAAAGACGACACCAAAGTGTAACAACAGGTTGAAGCAATTAATGTTTCCTATTTCCACGAGAAATTCTTTTTTGGTTTAAGAAATACAACAACATGCAATAGCGCGTACCGTTACCTTACCTACTTCTCCTATTAAGGCGTAATATTTACTCGAAATTAAAGCTCCATAAGGCATTTAAATACATTCAAACTATTATTAAAGTTTAAATAATAATATTATTATTTAAATTAAACTTGGGCTAAAATGTAAAAACTTACGATTATGCCGCGATAAATAAAACTCCGTTAGAAAACAGTACTTATCCTAAAATACGTAGGTATATACAGCTAGTAAGAGTTCTTGTGAAAAAAAAGATTCGTATTTAGTTTAACTTCAAGTATCTAAAAGTAAAAAATCTGTTGTTATTTGTGTAGATGTTTTCGATTTCGATTTGTATTAGAACGGTACTTGTAACAATACAAAGAAATAAGTGCATAATTAATAATTTTGAGTTAATTAGTTATCAGTTTGTCTTAAGAAGAAGGAAAATTTTTAGATATATTCGATACATTAACGAGTACAGCTGATGCCAAAGATTGTCCTGGAGTTTGTGTTCATATAATAGCAACGACAATATGTTACGATGTATTGGAGGACGTAGCATGTCCTAGTGCTTCAATGAAATGTTGCATTGAAGGACCAGGACCTAACTCAACGTCAACGGCAAAAAACGAAACAAGCATCAGCGGCTCTAGTAGCCCCACTACGGTACAAGAAACACGATCCACCACAACACCTCCACCTACATCCGTAATGGTAAAGGATTCTAACAAAGTTGCTTGCTATAAAAATGTATATTTGCAGTTACACTTTTTTTAGGTGACTCAAAACAAAACAACGACAGCAACAAAAGTTGCAAATTCCGGAAAAAATGAAAGTAAGTAAAATCACACAATCCTAATTAAAAATAAAAAGAAAAATTTGGTGAAGGCGCCAGGATATGTACGCACTAGATATTTTCACCGTCAAACATAACAAAAACTACCAAAGGAAATTAATTTAGTATTTGTCTTTCGATTTGTTCATTTGTTTTTAGAAACCATGGCACAAGAAACCATAATTTAGTACTTATGTAGTACTAGTGCCTATCTATCAAAGTTAAAGTACCACTTTTCCAGTTATTACTTCAAAATTATTCACCTATTCTTTTTCATACCTAGAGGCGAAGCAAATATTAATTCATTTTACAGCTTCATCAAAATGTCCTGGAGTTTGTGCACCAGCTAACATATCAGATTACTGCGAAGCCATCATACCTAACGACACTTTATGTGAACCGAATGCAAAATGTTGCGTGGTGTTGGACGATGCGGTTCCCGATAATGTAATAATTCCAAATGCTCACATCAAAAACAGGACACAAGCGCCAGAGTTAAAAACAACACCGTTTCCAATCACCGCCGTTACCGAGTATTCAAAAGTTGTATCTACAACATCCCCCTCGTTTCCAACTAAAACTTGTAAAGGAGAATGTATTGGTGGTATTTTTGCGCTATCCTGTTACGATATAGATTGGGAAGCACAATGTCCTGAAGGATCTAGTTGTTGTATAGAATCGGTATGTATTCGATGTTTTCTACCTTTAAGAAACGCACCGAATTGTTCAATTATTTTTGCAAATTGTCATGCTTCGTTATGCGACGGATTATTAGACATTACTTTATAGTTTTGGGATTTCTCAAGTAGCAGTACTCATATACCGCCAACAAGGATAATAAGTACTAGTACCACCACTACTACAACCACCCCTCGTACTACAATATCTACGAGTATGGGTCCCAAATGCCCTGGTACTTGCTATTTGAGTATTATGGTAGCATTTTGTGTCCGACCAGCTGTCTTGATACAAAACACATCTTGTAAGAGAGGCACAATCTGTTGCGATAATAGACAGCTATCGGCCTCTCCTCGTCCAAAACCAACACCGTACAGGACATCAACAGTACCTTCGACGACCATTGTTACGACAGTTGATCCTAGACCAGAATGCCCTGGTTCATGCATTGTTTCCTATCTCAGTTTCACTTGCTTTCGTAAGTTGTTACAGTTTTACTCTATGTACATGTCTCAATTTTAAAACCCGCAGGAAATGCCGAAATGACGGACATTTTCAAATGCAAGAAATTTGGACATAAGTGTTGTGCTCCGAAATCGATAATAAGGGAGATGTTGGATTTGAAGGGCGAATCTAGCTTCGAAGGTCATCCAACTAGCACAGTGTTACCTTCCAGTGTGGGTTTAACAACTCCATTTTTAACAACGACAGAAGCAACCGCAATAAGTAAGCAATATTTGAAAAAAAATGATAAACGAAATGTTACCACGGACCAATTAAATTAATAGCTTTCTCCGGTTACACTAAAACAACCCCCAGCAATTGGAAATCGCCTACATATAATAAGTACGTATGCGGCGTTAAGGGCAACTCTAGGACTCGAAGGGTAGTCGGAGGGGAAGATGGCGAACAGGGGGAATGGTGTTGGCAAGTGGCCCTTATTAACTCTCTGAATCAGTACCTTTGTGGGGCAGCCTTAATTGGTACCCAATGGGTTTTAACAGCTGCACATTGTGTAACTAAGTATGTCTGCATTTTTTCTTTGTTAGTCAATGTAAATTACATTAAAACTTATGAACAATAAATAAAGTCAGACTTTGAAATTTATCATGAAATTGTAGCATCGTACGAGCAGGCGATACAATTTACGTAAGGGTTGGTGATCACGATCTAACGAAGAAGTACGGAAGTCCTGGAGCCCAAACACTTAGGGTTGCTACCACATACATCCATCACAATCATAACAGTCAAACTTTAGATAACGATATTGCTTTATTAAAATTACACGGACAGGCCGAACTAAAAGAAGGCGTCTGTTTGGTTTGTCTACCCGCTAGAGGCGTTAACCATGCGGCAGGAAAACGTTGCACTGTAACAGGATATGGATACATGGGAGAATGTATGATAGATAGTACTATTTAAAAATGTGATTTTTTCTGATGTACTTTGTTAATAGCTGGGCCGATTCCTTTACGTGTTCGAGAAGCTGAAATTCCAATCGTAAGTGACCCCGAATGCCGAAGGAAAGTTAACGCTGTTACCGAAAAAATATTTATTTTACCAGCCAGCAGTTTTTGTGCAGGAGGAGAACAAGGAAATGATGCCTGTCAGGTAACTTTTAAAATAATTTTTCCTTATCATAAGATCGTCAGTCCTAGGACTGGTTGGACACGCACCTCAACTCCTTGCTATCATGAGTTAATCTGTGCATTTCCCTAAAATTAGAACATCCCACATCCTTAACTATTTGCGAACAGTAATCTAATCTAAACTTAACTCCTGTTTCTGCCTCTAATAGACCTACATGCCTGAGAAGGTATCCTACCAACCTATCTTCCATGAAGTCCTTTGTTCTTCTATTCTTTCTAATACATCTTCATTTCAAACCTTCTCTATCCACGGTATCCTCATCATTCGCTGGTAACATCACATTTCGAACGCTTCTAATCTTTTCTTATCAAACTAATTATCCTGAATTTAAAATAAAATAATCAAATCGTTTAGGGCGATGGAGGAGGGCCACTGGTATGTCAAGATGATGGCTTTTACGAATTGGTAGGTTTAGTATCATGGGGCTTCGGTTGTGGAAGACAAGACGTGCCAGGAGTCTACGTTAAGGTATCCTCCTTCATAGGATGGATTAACCAAATCATTAGTGTAAATAATTTATAGGTAAATTAGTAATACGATTGGGCCTTTTAACGAAATTATAAATATGAGTCATGGATTTCAATTCTAAAAAAATTTAAAACCTTTCCGGGAAATAAGTACTAAAAAAAGGCTAAAATAGTGTATTCAACTACTTCATAATTTTTTAACTTATTATTGTGTTAGTTTTAAATGAATAGTAGATAACTAGTGTTAGGTATTACTACGTAAACAAAATATTAATTATTTATATGAATTAAAAACAATGTACAAATTATTTTAAAAGGCGCGCTATTGCTTGTGTTCCACTGGTGTCGGTATNGTTAGAATTGCGACAGTTGCACCTCGAAACGGTTGTTGAAAAGGTGCTCGTAAGTTTATCAAGTCATTGATAGCGATTGGCGTCAAAAGAGGAATATGACAATAAGGCAAATTTCTTGTTGTATTTAGCTCGTGCTGCACTGTTGCAGCTTTTCTGTCCCCTACACGAATTTATTAAATGGCTAAGAAGCAGATGTATTCTACGTCTACCCTCCTTAGGTTGCCTTCTTACCCTCTTTCTTCGTTATCACACATTCACCGACACCATAAGTACCTAACGTTTATTTTAGCAACTGACAAATAGTACTAAGACAAATTCTCAAAAATCATTCTTATCATCTATTGTAGCCACTTATTAGTATATTTTAATTAATAAGGGAGACAAGAAGCTATCCATTTAAAAGTATTATTTGGGGTGCGTGAATATGTAAACATTTATCAAAGTACAAACACCCATACCTATATATCCGCATCTACTGATAATGATCTTAAAAATCAAAGTGAAATTAACTTTATCCTCAAATTAATTAGAGACAATTTTTTCTCATTAATTTGAGGTCATCTATAAACAGTAGACAGTTAATTTAACTTTGATGTTTTAATTTGGTAAATATTAACCTCTTCGAAAAATGTTTTATATTGTATGTATAATATATATTGATAAGAGCTCAATATAGTTTAAAAAATTTATATAGACAACCCATTACCTTCTCGTGTACTGTTGTGGTATAGATCTATACACTAGTTTAATAATAAAAACTTGATAAAACAATTTCACAAAATAATACAGAATATAATTATTATTATTGTGTGGCATTAACGTTAAAAAAATACACTAAGGTATTGGGATAAAAAAAAACTTTTTCTATCACTTCGCTAAAATAAAGCGATGCATAGCTACACGTAGTAACTTTAGGGATCTTTATACTGAAGAAGTCAGGGTCGGCTCGTTTTTAATTTGATTAACTATTTTAAACAAAATTTTGACAATGATCAGTATTGAATTCAGTTATTTTGTAATATTATATGTATATACAAAATGACCTGAAGGTAAATTTACGAAAAATTCGTTGTGAATTGTTTAAATAACTTTATGAACAACGATAGGTACTTTTCAACGGATGGGAACCAACTAATATAATATAATTCGTAAAGAAATTCACAAGCCATCTCTGTGATACAAAGAACCTATGTAAATTAACTAATCAGTACAGAATATTCGCCTAAATTCTAATCACAATTTTGTTACATGTATTTAATAGAAGTGATTAGCTAACATGAATTAATTAAAATTTAAAACCAGCGATAAGCCTGCACATATTTTAGGAAAATAATATATTATAACAACTGTGCTAGTAACTGTGTGTACCTAGAACTATTTATGTGTAAGAGTGTACGCACTGTATTCGTACCATACAAATTGCTGTTTTAACTACGAAAATTTTTATAGGACTACCTCCAGTTGGGAAATTCTACAAGAAGTCGGTAGATCTTTATGAAAGATTATCTTCTATAACTTAAGAGAAGAATTTTTCAAATAAAATTTATAACCACGTGTAGAACGTTTAAGGAAATTTCTGTGGAACTTCTTGAGCGATAACAAGAGGTACTAAACACTGAAAATTTCTTAAAAAAAAAAATGCGAAAGGTATACAACATCCAAGTATAACGTACGGAATCGCACGAGTGCTTTTTAAACAAGTCAGGAGCCATGCATTGTGTACGTAATAAAACAGCTTATATACTCAAGTTGTGCTTCTATAAACTATGAAATTATCCGAGTTCCTAGTTGTAACAAGTACCCAGAAAATTTAACGAGAACCCGCGGATTATAACTCAATAAAGGCCTATAAAGCTAACGCACTTCGAGTACCTACGTTAATTTTTTAAAATTACCTAATTCAAGACGCCTATGTCATATGTTTTATATTTTCAAATTTGGGACACGTATCATCACGAAAAATTAGAACAGTTTACATTGGCTTAAGAAAAAAGATAACATGTAAATTAGTGCGTTCAAAAATGAAGACTAATTTAGTACGTTGATTAACAACTACTAGTTGGACCCGTTTAAATAATTATTTTTAAATAAATTAATCTGTATACGGTTAAGGCAGGTAAAATGGTACAATATATTATGCACGAAGGGAAGAATCTAAAATCCTTTCCCAATGTGATTTCGTCCCTGGTGTCAGGGAAAAATATGGCGTATGCTGAAAAAAAAAGGTAATGGGCAATCTAATTCGGGCCGAGTCGCCCTCTAGGTCCTATCATTTAAAAAAAAAGCAAAATGGTCGAATTTCGACCATATGCAAAACTAGTTAAAACGTATTCGTTTAATTAATTACATAAGTACTCATTCTGAACGTCTAATTTGAAAAATGATATATGAAATATGTAATTATAAATCAAATGCAACGCAACGAATAAATATATGTGGAGTCCTCCGTTGATAAGAGATTTTGTAGAGATGTGGGGTCGTTTACTTTTTCAACGTTTATGTGCAGATACATACACATATACACGCTAATAGACAATTTTTATGAATGTATATACATATATACAGACATAAACAAGCAAATGTAGGTTAAATTTTTAAAGTCATTATTTGTAATAGCAAACCAAACATAATAAGAGTGTAATAAAAAAATTGACCATTAAAAAAATGCTTTCATACACAACGATAAAGAGCTGTTAAATAATGGAGGTCATGCTCCTAAAGCAAAAACAGCTCGTAATTCAGAACAGACAACAGATAAATTGTAGAACAAAGATTTTGAAAATTATAAATTGTAAAGATAATGTAGCCCGTACTAATAACGAGATGACATATTAATCAGATTGGAAACTGAAATTGCCAAATTGACTAATTTCAATGTGGCATTTGTCATCCACACCGTTAAATTAATCGATTAATATTAGAAGAATTTAATTAAAATGTATGGATGTACTTGCGGGACTAACGATAAGCTATTAATAAATTTCGCGACCCTCCTATTTTTTAGATAAAATTTATATTTAAATTGTAAGTACTGTTAAACATCCGTTAGAAAATATCTTTTGCAAGTTTAGCGCAAATGTGTATTTTATTATGTAGAGAATTTTCTTAAAAATGTTTGTTGTTTTAATTTAATTAGAACAACTAATTACATAGTAATATATTTTTAAATTATTACTTTTTTCATGGAAATCTAGAGGAACCAACACATTTTGTTACTTTAAATGCTATTTGCGATGCCTAACTATTGGCAATTAGCTATTTTATAAAATTTAGTGTACTATATTACGCTAAAATACTGTGTTTTGGTGATACATTGTTGCTAGTTAAAACCAATAACAATATGTTTCAGTTATGGAACGCCATATGGTCTCCAGGGGAAAATTTTCTAACAAGATTAACGAATATCATTAATGCTTAATCTGTTTTTTTTTGTACTATAAATCGGTATCTATTCAGGAAACAGAAATGTAAAATAAGAAATTGTTCGAAATAAAATATTGTCTAATGTGTAATGAACCTTTATGATTCGACCATTAGGTAACTATTTATCACGCTTGTTCTGATAAAAATTCAAAGAAATATAAATAATAAATCAAGACGTTGTACTGAATTGTTCATAATGAAGTAAAAATTTGGAATTGGCACGTTCAGGAATAGAACAGGAAAGAGTTGTATATCTACAGGTGAGTACACAACAGGTTAAACGTTCGAAATAAATATTACTTTCATTCAGGTTCTGAAGTTTTAACGGACTTGCATTCTTCAGCTAACGTAAGAACACTCAACATATTCACTCCAGAGGAAGAAGACGAAAAGATGCGAAACTAAACGAGATCGTGTTCACTTAGTACAATTTTGACAATAACACACAATTATTGTAGAATTAAACTTATAATGAAATTAGCAACACGTACTGTCTATAAGAAATTATGTAATTCCATTAATGGTTTTTAGGAGTAATAACATCATCACTTTGCTATTCGAGATGATCGGCTCAAAGAAAGTTATTTCCTTTGACCTTGTGCAGTATGCCAGTATTAATTATTATGTAAGCAGTTTAAAAACAAATCAGACAAATTTACACTTAAAAAAGTACAAAATATAGGTACCCTGGCAAAATACTTGAAAATTGTAGACAAGTCTTTCGGCAGATGTTTTGAAGTTGCTTCTCCTAACTAGAGAAGTTAAAGACTTCGTAGATATGATAGTAAAAGTTTTTAATTTTCTTTCTATCGACATAATCGGAAAAGTTCTCGATTTGGACAAACTATAATGGATATATTTGCCCCCGGGCTCACCCATAACCACATCCCTGTTACCGTACTTTTGAATTTTATTTTTAAACTAATTTTATTAAAAAAGAAAACCTCGGTCCCCGAAAAGTCAACTATTACATATTTTTCGTACGCATACGAATGTCCACTTGATGGGACGGGTCCTACTACGAGTCTATAAATATATATATACTGTATATGTATCGTTAACAACGATGACCATGTTCTAGGACCTAGGCAACGTTTCCTTCAAGTATTCAAAGAGTCTTGAAGCCGGTTATGACGTAATACTGACAAACATAATGTGACTTTAAATGTACAATGTACTTACCAGGTAAGTGTTAAATAATAAACTAGACCTGAAGAAAAATACCAAGACGTTGAAAATGTTGTGGAAACGCTACAAAATAATTTTTTGAAAACGTTCTTCGGGTAGAGCTCTAGGCTTATTTTTGTTACGATCCACCCTATATAAGTAAAATCATAAATTATGTATAAACTATACATTTATACTATTGCATTTTATTGTTTAGAAAATCTGAATTGTACCTGTAATGTGACATTTAACTTATTTAATCTCATAATTATAGTCTTGCAGTCAGGTTAAATCTTCGAAATACCAGTGACCATTCCTGGAAGCAAATAACAAAGTCCAAAGTGTTACCAACTGCTAGTTTATTGAATGTTTGAATAGATCCGTACCCTACATCGTTCT